CTCAAATGTCCCAGAAAATAAATTTTCTTTCTCTCCCGGCATAACACATAAGCCCTGGCTTCTTGTTCTTGAAACTTGAGGCTGACATTCAGTATTTGCTTTAAAATTTCCCCTTCATACATCCTGTTTACATAAACAGTACAGTTATGTGAAATGCACACCAGACACACTGCATTTTCTTTCTAATCTCATTTGACCTTGTTCGGACTCAACAAATCCTAATCAGCTGACAAGAGAAATCAGATACTGCCTGCCGCTTTCTCCCTGCAGTAAAGTATTTCCTTCTGTTTATGCCCAATCATGCAATTAAATGAAGGGCATGCTGGCCTCCTGGCGAACCAGCTGCCAAGATGACGGAGGGGAGTAATTTGACAAATAGGGCACAGGGAAATACAGCAGACATTCACAGGAAATTGTATTGGTTGCCCAAGGAGACCTGACAGACACAAACATCACCAGAGCTACAGGACAGAAATGGGGTCCGAGGTCCTCCAGTGAGAAGGTGCCTCGCTCTGATCCCACTCTAACTGAAGAACAGGAACTTGTCCCAGTTTGTCAGCCTGGCTCTCAGCGGCTTCAGGGGAGGATGCCTAATTAGAGAGGGTCACACCCATGAGAAGTAGGCTTCCCCTTTCTGATATTGGTCACCCATAGCCTATTGTATGTTTTCCTCAATCTCAGCTTTTCAATTTTTATTTTAAAATATTTTATCTTTAAATAAAAGTAATGCCTTGTGCACATGTTAAAAATGCACAATGTACAGAGAGGTATAAAATGACCCTCACTAACCCCCTTCTTCTCAAGATAACCACTATTTACTTTTTTTTCTGGATCCTTTGAGGGACAGAAATGTCTTTACACACTTGAATGTGTGTATGCTTAAAAGCGATTTACTAGGCACAGTCCTGCATTGTTTGTTTTTCACTTAATAATAGATCTTCGCACATTGGTCTGGTACATCCAAGTGCCAATATTCCTTGCCTGCATTGTTGCAATACCTCCTCGCCGACTTCCCTGCTTCTGCCCTTACGCCCTACAGTTCATTCCAGAGGGATCCTACTAAAAGGTAAATCGGATCATGTTTCTGTTTGGTCAGAACTGCCCAGTGATTTCTCTGGCATTAAGAACAGAAGCTAAGCTTGCTGTCACCACCTGCCCCTCCAAATCCATCCCCGATGCATTCCTGTGCTCCAGCCTCACTGTTCCTCATACAGGCCAAGTGTGGTCCTACCTCAGGGCCTTTGTACTTACTGTTCCACCTGCCTGAAGTGCATGCATTTCTTTTCTGCCCTTGATTCTTTACATGGCTGGCCCTTCCTTACCATTCTGGTCTCATTTCAGACCCTCCTCCCTGACCACCTGTTCTAAATCAGCCCCTCATAGATCTTTCTTTTCCTTCATAGATCTTTTTACTAGCTGAGAATTATCATGTTCAGTTATTTGTTTACTTATATGTTGTCTGTCTTCTCCTAGCACACACTGGAATGTAAAGTCCATGAGGAGAGCAGGGATTTTATCTGTCTTTTCACCCTTATATTCCCAGTACTTGGACCAATGGTTCTCAAACTTGAATGGGCATCAGAATCGCAGATGACTGTACCCCAGCTCCAGAGTCTCTCATTCAGTAGGTCTGGAGCGGGCCTGGGAATTTGCATGTCTAACAAGTTCCCAGGTGATACGGATACTGCCGGTCCACGGACCAGACTTTGAGAACCACCAGTCTAGACGGTGCCTGGCACACAGTGGGTGTTGCTTATACGTTTATTATGTGAACA